CCAAGTTAAAAATGCTGTTAAATAAAAACCTGTTTCCTGCAACACAAATTGTTGGGCCATGTGTCAAAAAGCCACATAGGTGAGCCCTGGTTTACTCAGTTACATTACTACTAAAAACATAATGAAGCAACTTCTGCTCAAGATGGTGGTATAGGCAGACATGGCTCACCTCTTTGCACAACCACATCAAAATTACAACTAAAATATAGAACAACCATCACTCAAACCGTCAGAAATCGTGTTGAATGGCAGTCTGACAACTATAGAATTAAGAAACCACATCCATCCAGACTGGCAGGAGGGGCACAGACATGGAACAGGCGGGTCCCACACCCACGTGGACAAAAATTCAGAAGGGATATCTCGGGAGCATAGAGTCCCAGACCATACCAGGCCCTCCAGCCCAGGATTCCAGTGCCAGGAAGTTAAGTTCTCACAACTTCTGGTTTCAAAATCCATCAGGAATTGTCTGTGGAATAAACTTATGAGCTCCTAGCAGTTCCTCTTAAAGAACCCACACACTGACTCACCTACTCAGACTCACTCCCTCTGAGCTTCAGCACCCAGGTAGCAGCTTGAATGGCACAGTTGTTGTGGTATACAGGGAGAAACTGAGTTGTCTCCCATCGAGGTGAGCAAAGACTACTGTCCCTTTTCTAACTGCCCCCCCCCACACACACACACAAAGCTTATAAGCTGGTGCCATATCTGAGACTCCATGAATATGGCTAACACTGTTTGACCCACCTTGGAGATCCACACAGGCTCTGCCCCACTCAACTTACTCGCTGCCCAAGCTGCTTTTCCATAAGATTGGCTGCTCTTGGCTCCTAAATCCTATCAAACAAGCAAGAGCTGGCTTCACTGAGCCCAAGTGGCAGCCAAATTAGAGTCACAGCTTGGCTTCACCTGGGAATCTCCAAGCCCAGCATAAGTAGCAGCCATCACAGATTGCTTTGCAGCTCAGGCAGGGTGCCCCAGGAAAAACAAAGGTGGGGGAAAAACAAAGGTGGGGGCTGACCTTGGCCTGCACCACCCAGGAAAACCCAGGGACAGTGTACCCAGTGGATAGTTACAGACCATTTCAGAGAGCACCACCATCCTGCCCCTGCACAGCTGATCCTCCATGGAGGGTGGAAGTTAATGCTAAGTGGTCACAGCCAATCTTTGCTGCTGACTGGCCTGGGGAAATCCCTCCCACTGATCTTCCAACAGTAACCAAGGCTCCACTACAAGAGGAGAGTGAGCTCAGCCCACCCAAAGGGCACACCTCTAGCACTCAGCTTGGGAATAGGGGAGGCTGTGCCATTGGACCCTACAGGACACCTGCTACATTAGGCCACACTACTAAGACATGGAGTCAAAGCAGCTCTACCTAATACATAGAAACAAACACAGGGAGGCTGCCAAAATGAAGAGACAAAGAACCATGGCCCAAATGAAGGAACAGATCAACACTCTAGAAAAAGAGCTAAATGAAATGGAGATAAGCAATCTATCAGATGCAGAGTTCAAATCACTGGTTGTAAGGATGCTCAAGGAACTTAGAGAGGACCTCAGCAGCATAAAAAAGATGCAGTCAGAAACGAAGGATACACTCATTGAAATAAAGAACAACTTACAGAGAAACAACAGGAGAACAAATGAAGCCAAGAATCAAATCAGTCATTTGGAACATAAGGACAACAAAAAACAACCAACCAGAAAAACAAGAAGAAAAAAGAATCAAAAAAAATGAGAATAGTGTAAGCATCCTCTAGGACAACTTTAAGAGGTCCAACGTTCACATCATAGGGGTACCAGAAGGAGAAGAGAAAGCAAGAAACTGGAAATCTATCTGAAAAAAGAGTGAAAGAAAACTTCCCTAATTTGGTGAAGGAAATACACGTGCAAATCAAGGAATCACAGAAGAGTCCCAATTATGATGGATGCAAAGATGCCAACTCCAAGACACATCATAATTGAAAGGCCAAAGGTTAAAGATAAAGAGAGACTCTTAAAAGCAATAAGAGAAAAGAAGCTAATTACTTGAAAGTTGCCAGATGGGAGGGGGGTTGGGGAGAATGAGTGAAGAAGTGATGGGATTAAGAAGTACAAATAGGTAGTTACAGAACTGCTAGGGGGATGTAAAGTAGAGTAAAGGAAATGGAGTAGCTAAAGAACTTACAGGCATAACCCATGGACATGAACAATAGTGAGGGGATTGCTTTGCCACAGGTAAAGTCACACCCAACTCCCCGGCCCATAGTCGGCTGCCACAGCTATTTAGAATGATCATAACACTAGGCAGCTGTTATTGATATGCAAAGTATCTCTCAACCTGGTCTGTGGGGTGCTTGAGGGGGGTGCTTGGTGGAGGAGGGCAAAGGGGGAAATACCAGGACAAGTGTAATAGCATAATCAATGAAATATAATTAAAAAAACATAATGAAGAAATGAGATGCTTGTATCTATGTATAACGAATTAGTTTGAATCTGATAAGAGTAATAATGTTACAAAGCAGACCATGGCTCATTCATGTGTCGCCTTGGTGTAAGACCCAACAATTAATGTTGGAAGGAGCAGATCTTTATTTATACATACCAACCCTAGGGGAGCCTGGAGCACTCATTCTCTGAGCTCAGTTTTCCCATGAGACTCAGCACTTCCCATGTTCCCCACCAGACTATGAGCCAGAAACATGCCTGAAACTTGCTCATGTTCTTATTTTAAGCCAGCTGCACATACAGTTCTCCAGTCCTTCTGGAAGGTACCAAAGTCACCATCCTCACTCAGCAGCTCTCTCCTTCAGTATCTGCAATACATGTTCATCAGCCTCCATTTTAATAGTCCAAAAAGCATGGCCCTGTGTTACCCTGGATCATGGTGAAACTCAGGAAAGGCACAGGTCTTAAAACTCTAGGTAAAATCCAGGTGCAGCCAGTCAGGATTTATCAAGGAAGTCCTTTGCAGCTCTAGAGTCAGCCAGAACATTTACTTCTCCCTTCTCACTGCTGTCTTTCAAAATGCATGGCAAAAATCCCTCACTACTGATAGCACGTCTTTTCCCTCTCTAATACTCGCTGCATGGCCAAGAGCCCTTCTCTTTGCCAAGCTGAATGGTCAGGAGAGCTCCACATGGCTGCTACATTCCGCTTTTCTTTCTTTTCCAGCCATGTAGTAGAGAGTGGGAAAATTGCTCCCTTGCCTAGTTTAGTTCCCAGTGCCACCTCTGTAACCACATTTCTGACTCCTCCCACAATCAACTACATCTGCCCTTTCTCTGGTATCTTCTGCCTCTCTCTGGCAGCCATTGTTAGTCCTGACAGGTGTGGTCCTTGACTAGGAGGAAGTGTCTTCCTGCCCTCATGGAGGCGCAGCAACTGGGTAACCACCTCCAGGCTACATCACAGGTAAAGTCACGCCCAACTCCCTGGCCCATAGTAGGCTGCCACAGCTATTTAGAATGATCGTAACAGTAGGCAGCTGTTATTGATACGCAAAGTATCTCTCAACCTGGTCTGTGGTCTGTCCACTTCCCTGTCCCCCAAGGGATGGCTGTGGGGTTTTATTCCTATATTCCCAAACACCCCAAGTTCTGAACCTCATTCCACACCCATTACAATAAGAAGTGAAGCCATTCTATTTAAATGACAGCAGAGATATGGCAGACATTAGAATAAAACCAGGTGTTAAGTAACTATAGAGAAGATATTTGCATAAACAAAATAGGGAGGTAAACTTAATTAAAGTAAGAATAACATGAGAAGTACTAAGTAGAAAAAATGAAGGTATATGCTGTTGTTGAAAATTAGCTAGCGCTTTTCAAGGAAGATGTTAACTTTCTATGTTGTGTGTCATGGGATGGGATTGTGAGAGAATATCTCAGACCTCATACGCTCATCTAGTTATCTCACCCCATGTTGGAGCAAACATTTAGACTCCCAGAACTTTGAGATCTTGGAGATCCTGTCTTTCAAGAGTGATGGGAAATAGAGAAAGAGTTGAAAGAAAAAAAAGGCAGTATTTAAGAAGCTACAGGGAAGCTCCGTGGCTAACTTTTGGGGACAGTATCAGATAAAACTGAAAGCCAACAGAATTTCTCCAAATAAATCATTTCAAGAGGTTTTTTTCACAATACATATTTCATATCATTGCCCTGCAACATTAAAAAATTTATATAAAATGACAAAGTATTTTTAATACCTTTATTAATGAAATTCATTAATACCTCTACATTTCATTTGCTTCAACTAATTTAATAATGCATGGTTTAAAGTCTATTAAGAGGAATCTCAAATCTCCCCACACTTTTGCATTTGGTTTCATTGTTTTTCCAGTATCACTGAAATGAACCACTGAAATGAAACCCTTTTGAACTGAACACTAAGCGTTTATTGTGTAGTGGAGCTTTAGTGTTTAGAGCTTAGTTTAAGCTCTTCCTCCAAGTGGGCATGAAAATCCTGAGTTCCAAACCTTTCCTAACTAGACTGATTAAACTGTGTATTGGATTCAAGGTCATTAATTAAGTTTCTAAAAATACTTTATTTACTTTAGAGAAAGGGAGGAAAAGACACATCAATGTGTGGCTGCCTCTTGCATGCCCCACAACAGGGAACCTGGCCTGCAACCCAGGAATATGCCCCGACCCGAATGGAACCTACAAGCCTTTGGTTCGCAGGCTGGTGCTCAATCAACTGAACTACACCAGCCACAGCCATTAATTCTTAACTCTACCTGCTAGTGTTTCATTGGTTTCGAATGTATTAACCTCCCAGTATTATAAATTCAATCCTATCTTTAAGCCCAATCAACTAATTACATCAAATGAAAGCAAAATTTCCATCCATGGCTTCTAAGTTGATATTTCCTCCAGGGAAGAGACTGGAGAATTCTCTGCGGCAGGCGCCTCTTCTGCTTTTGACAGCCCCCAGAGGCTCCGCCCCTCACGTACTCCACGCCCCTTTTCTGTATACCTCAGCCCTGGGGCGGACTTTGGACGTCGAGCGGAAGTGACGTATTGGTCGCCGGAGGTGTCGTTGGTGTGTTGCGCGGCTAGACCTGAGTGGACTGGGGCCTGCACCCGGGAATACAACGGAATGTCGATCGAAATCGAATCCTCTGAGTGAGTCCTGCGGTGATGGATGGTCGGGAAGTGGCGGGGGCAGGGACTTGAAGGGTGCAGAGTGGAAGGTGCTCAGCGGGAGGCATTCAAGAGGCTCGGGAATGGAGGAGCATTTCCTTGCCCACAAATAAGTTTCTTGGGTCTACCTCGGAGGCGGGCCCACGAGGAAGTAGCGGACAAGAAGCCCAGAGCCCCGTGGGAGGCGGCGTGGGGCCGGGCGAAGGATACTCCTTGAAGATCCTAGTTGTAGCCATCGCCGACTCCTGATGGCGCTGTGACGACTGATCAGATTACCCCTCCATTCTGGGCTCCAGTTTGATTATCTGCGCAAGGGGGTTTGGACTCAGCATTCCTGCTCTTCCTGTCCCTGTTAAATAAGTGTGATTTGTTTCTTATGTGCTTACGTGGCCCCTTTGCTTTCCTGTGCGCACCATTTAACCCAGTACTGTCACTTTTTTCTGTCCACCCTACGAGCCTGTGTTGGCGCTTAGAGGCTCTTTTTTATTATAGTTCCAGAGCCTAGCACACCGTAGAGGCTCAGTCACCGCCTTTGTAATGCATGAACAACTAGGTATACTGTCAGACTCTACGTGGTGCTGAATTTTGGTTCGTCTGTGAGTTCTGTGTAGCTACAGAGAAACAATCCGGAGGTCGGGCAGAAGAACGATAGATTGGGGGGGGGGGACGGGGATTAATGACTGAAGTACGTCTTTGGTGAACTTTACCAGGACATCATCTTCTACTTTGTCAACAATAATTAAGTCATCAGACATATAATATTTGTGTCCTGAGTATAAGTAAGGGAGAGAGGACTTGTAAAAACCTGCCATAGGGTGAAAGGAGGTTTATTTATTCACCAAATACTGAAGTCTACTGTGTATAGTTCTAGACCCTGGGGAATACAGTAATGAACAAAACAGACAAAAATCCCTGTCCTTAAGGATGTACATAGTGATTGGTGAAGGCAAACAACATACAAAAACAATAAGTGACTTATGAGGCTTAACAGATGATGATACGTATTGTGGAAAAAATAAAGCAAAGAAGAGTGATAAAGAGGGCTGGAGTTAAGACGACTAAGTCAAGGGCAGGAGTCGGAAAGGATTCCATGCTTTTGGACTTGGGTAAGAGTGGACACCAACCATTCTTCCAGTCTTGGGCTGCCGTACGTTTTTATTATCAATGGTAGCCACTGTTTATTAAGCATTTTCTATGCTAGTCTTGCTATAAGCGTTATAGCCAACCCTTTCACCAAGCCAACAGGGTAGGTATTTTCCTTCACAGATGAGGAAACAGGTACAGAGATAACTGACTTGCCTAAGCTCACAATTAGTAAGTGACAACACTCTTATTCAAATCCCAGCTGTTCTCTAGAGTTTTATACTCTGTGTATTACATTGTGTTTGGAGGAAGTAAATTTGATTTTGATAATGCCAGATAAGAGGTCTTTTCAAGGAAAATGTCTTATTTTGGGAGTACAAATGGAAGTGTGTTAAGGAAGATAGTAGGTACTAGAAGGGACAGTAGAGATCTAACCCTGAGTGTCTCCTAAAGGAGCCGTGAGAAAAAAGACCACTAAATAGCAGTAACTGGTTTCCTTCTACAGGGATTTTTAAGATGAGAGCGTTTGCTTTCCTATCAGTGATGTATGCTCAAGAGCCACACTGCCAGTTTAAATCTTCATTTTCCCACTTAATTTGTTATTGGTGAGATCTTCATCTGTAAAATGGACATAATAGTAATAACCTACCTTATAGGATTGTTTTGAGGAGCACTTGGTATACTGTGAATACATAATAAACATTGGTTATTACTTTATGACTATTATTTCTCCCCAGAGTAAACTGACTTAATTCCATTCTGAAATCCCTTCCCTATGGCAATCTGACCGTCTGTACCAGCGCTGTTCAGTAGAAATATAGTGTGAGCCACATATAAGAAGGAAAACGTATAGTGAACTTTTACGGTATATAGGAACAGTCTTCACTAGACTCATTAAGTGCAAGATCAAGATGTTTTAACTATAAACATATTTAAGTATAACTTTTCTGTTACACGTTGAAATGGTTGCTTATTCTCTCAGTATTTGGCAATTATCTGGCTCCTTTCTTCCTTGGGAAACTGAAGGCAGTAGGTCGGTGTTATTTTTGCAAATGAGGACACATATCTTTGCTTTACTTTTACATACAGCATTTATTTGCGTTTCAACAAACCCCTATTAAGAAAATCTCAGTTCACATTTTTGATTGTCATTTTAAAAAAGAACCAAATCATCCTATAAGCATTTAGAGTGCTGAACACTAGTCAGTGACTACACTAGGTTTAAATTTAAATAGTTCACTGAAGTGTGCAAAAATATAATTGTACAAATTGGTAAGAAACTTAGCATAGCAAAAAGATCTCTGGCCTGGTAGTAAGAGGGTCACTTTGGTACCAACTCCCTTTTTAACTGACTGTGAGGCATTGGGCAAATTATTTCCCCTCTCTGAACCCTAGTTCTCCTATTTCTGAGATGGAGGTAGGAATAGATGATCCCCAAAGTCTCCTGTAACTTAGATTCTGTGATTTTTCCAAAAGTTTCCCGAATATGATAAAGAAATGGAAAGTAGGCAGTGAGAAGAAGGTGGCGGAAAAGTAGAAATAAGCCGGCATAGGCTTCGTTTTGTGGTCTCTCCGCTGAGCGAGCTTCCCCGAACTGGATGACGTGCTTTCTTTTTTCAGTGTGATCCGTCTGATCATGCAGTACCTGAAGGAGAACAGTTTACACCGGGCATTAGCCACCTTACAGGAGGAGACTACTGTGTCTCTGAATACCGTGGACAGCATTGAGAGTTTTGTGGCTGACATTAATAGTGGCCACTGGGACACTGTTTTACAAGCAATACAGTCTCTGAAATTGCCTGACAAAACCCTCATTGACCTCTATGAACAGGTAAGTGTGGAGGTGATTCCTGTGGATTGGGTTATTGTGGGTCCCCTGGCTGGGAAGCATTAGTGAGCATTCCTTCAAGCACTATAGGGATATAATAACCCTTAAAACTTATACTGTCAAGGCTTGAGTGCTACTTTGTATTTTTCCCGTCTTCTTGGAAGAGCCAAGGTTTTCCCAAATTGAAAGTTTTTTGTTTTTTTAAAATATTTTATTTATTTATTTATCTTTAGAGGGGAAGGGAAGGAGAGAGGGAGAGAAACATCAATGTATGGTTGCCTTTCATGCATCCCCTGCTGGGAACTGGCCTGCAGGGAACTGGTCTGCAGCCCAGGCATGTGCCCTGACGGGATCGAACTGCGATTGTCTGGTTCGCAGGCCCACGCTCAATCCACTGAGCTACACCAGCCAGGGCCAAATTGGAAGTATTTCTTAATTGACCATTCAGTGAACTGTTCTGATGCCAGCTATTCTGATACCAACTAATGTACTGCAATTCAGTTCTGGCACTAACCATCCAAAGTTAGTGCAGACCCCACAAGCTTAGGAGTCAGTTCTCCATAAGCTTGTCCACGTTTCAGATGCCAGTTGTACTTTGGAGTCTTGGGCTGCCCAGAGTTCTGACCAACTGGCTACAAATTTGGGGGTTCCCATGACCCCCTTGGAATTAATAATTTACTGGAATGACTCACATAACAAGGAAAGCACTATATTTATGATTGCAGTTTTATTGTCAAGGATACAGGCTGAAACCAGCTAAAAGAAGAGACACATAGAGTGAGTTCTTCGTAGAATCCTGAACATAGAGCTTCCAGTGCTCTCCCTCCATGGATTCAGTGTCTCCTTCACCTCCTTCACATAGTAATGTGTTCACCAACCAGAAAGCTCCTCTGGGGCTTTTACTGGGGTTTCTTTCAATCTTTAGCTCCCTGGAGGTTGGGCTAGCTCAGAGCCTCAACTCTACAGTCACATGGTTGGTCTTTCTGGCCCCCATCCTGAACTGTCTTTTTTAGTACAAACTCAAGAGTGTTGCAGGGGGCTCATTAATAGCAAAGATACTCCTATCACTGGTGAAATTTCAGGGGTTTTAGGTGCGCTGTGCCAGGAAACCAGGACAAACATCATATAAAAGAACAGAGTGGAGTTTCTATATATAAGAATGTAGTGTTGTTTGTAAAAATAGGGTAATTGGTTTGTTTCTTTACAATTTGCATGAATTCAGTAATTTCTCGAAGAAAATTTTGATACTTGGAGAAAGATTTATCTGGAGCCCACGGAGATATTAACCTCTTTAGTTTTGGTCAGCATCCATATTCTGAAAAAAGTGGCTTGAGAGGAGAGGAGTTTGGTAGATAAAAATAGAGGGTAGAAGTTGAAATATTGAAGTTACTATTTATAATTACTTCATTTGTCCACCTGAAAATGAGAAGGAGCATTTCCTAACATAGGAAATTACTTTGACAAGCCATTTCTGCACAAGAAATTGTACTAAAAAGAGAAGTTTTACAAAGAGAATGCATTGAAATAGCCATTTTCTTTCACTTTTCCAGGTGGTTCTGGAATTGATAGAGCTCCGTGAATTGGGGGCAGCCAGGTCACTTCTGAGACAGACCGACCCTATGATCATGTTAAAGCAGACGCAGCCAGAGCGGTATATTCATCTGGAGAACCTCTTGGCCAGGTCTTATTTTGATCCTCGTGAGGTATGACTATGGTAACAAAAAGAAATTTGTTAATTTTGAAAAACTTACAATAATGCAATCTTTTAAACCATTTTATTGGATAGCTTGTGATTTTAATTTTTTATAATGACTTTTCTATTTATATATGTTGTTTGAAATTTGCATATGTTAGAGATTAATCTTGTCCAGTTTTCTGAGTATTGGAGGGTCTTCCCCTTCCTCATATACCCCTTTTGCAGAGGCTTGTGTGTCGATAAGTAAAGAAGCAGAAAGTCTATTTGATATCACTTCTTCATTATTCCAAGTACGTGCCTGGCCTGTAAGTGCGACCTGACTGCTGGTATATTCACTGTGCATTTGTTTCCCTTGCCACTGATGATTGCAGTTTCCTTCCAGCTCTTTCAGTTCTCCCATCCAAGTACTAACTAGGCCCGACCCTGCTTAGCTTTCGAGATCAGACGAGATCGGGAGCATTCAGGGTGGTATGGCTGTAGACTCTTTCAGTTCTTAGAAGCTAATGCTTTTTAAAAAAATTTTATTTTCCCACTTTAAAATATTTTACTTACTTATTTTTAGAGAGAGGAGAAAGGAGGGAGAGAGAGAGGGAGAGAAACATAAACTGGTTGCCTGTCACATGCCCCTCACTGGGGACCTGGCCCATAACCCAGGCATGTGCCCTGAGTGGGAATCAGACTGCAACTCTTCAGTCTGCAGGCCGGTGCTCAATCCACTGAGCCATACCAGCCAGGGCAAAGCTCATGCTTATACTTCTCAGCTGATTATGCTTACTGGTAAAGCATAGTGACTGATATTCTTACCAAGACCAGATTTGAGTTATAGGTACTGAAGAGCTTCTGGGCTGGGGTCTTCGACTGAGAGAAATTACCGAAGAATATAAAAGAGTCCTTGGCTCTGCAGATTTTTCAAAAACTGCAAAAACAACCCTGGCTTTGGTGTGGTTTGCATGGACTCTTCAGAAATAAGTGTGGATTGGCTGACATCAGTTTTCTGCCAGCTCATACTTTAGAAATACAAGTGGGAAGAAATGGAAAGTCATTTTAAAAAAACTAATTAATTAATCTCTTGTTTAACTGGGAAGCTTCTTTCCATATTTTCCTCTTTGAGTGTTTCTGCTTTATGATTTTTTTTTAATTAAGAACACTCAGATCTTCTAGCCATTTCTTGGTAATGATGCTGATCCCTCTCCTTTTCTCAGGCATACCCAGATGGAAGTAGCAAAGAGAAGAGAAGAGCAGCAATTGCCCAGGCCTTAGCTGGGGAAGTCAGCGTGGTGCCTCCATCTCGTCTCATGGCATTGCTGGGACAGGTAGTTAAAGTCCATAGAACTGAAATTACCCTGTATATAAACTATTCATGTAAGCTAAAGATATCAGACATCTTGAGTGTTGAGGATTACCTGTAGAACTTACTGTATTAACAGGTGTGCCATGCCACCCTCATCTTTCCTGGGAGAGGCAGTATAGATGAGGGATTAAGAGCAAAAGCTCTAGAGTCAGAGTCAGAGTCAGAGTCAGAGTGACCATAGGATTTATCATTCCATCCAGTGTAATTTAAGGGCACTGTTGGTCATTGTGCCAGAACACTGTCCCAGGCAAATTGGAACAAATATTAACCCTAGTTAAAATCCAAACTCTCTCACTTACTGGCTGTGTGGTCTTGGGCATGTTACCTACCTTTTCTGACCCCATTTATTCATCATGGTGTTGTAGTAAGGATTAAATGATATAATGCACTTAGAACATTTCCTATATTGCCTGACACCTTGTAAACACATAGTAAATGGTAGGTGCTGGTGGTGATTTTTTTGAAATTTGTGGTAGTATTTACTAATGTCATTACTAATATAGAGCTACCTAGAGTAATACAATCAGTTTTTTAAAAATTGATTTGAGGGGGGACTTCTGGCCAAGATGGAGGCGTAGGTGGAAACATTGTGCCTCCTTGCACAACCAAGTTTAAAGACAACATAGTTTTAGTAACAAAAACGCAACCAAAACACAGATAATTGAACTGTACAGAAGTCCAACAACAATGAACTGTTCAGCCAGACTGGTAAGAGGGGCGGAGTCAGCAGCAGAGCGGGGTCAGGCAGGAAAGATAGGTGGACCGACCCAGGAGTGCAAGCAGCAGTTGGCGGATATCAGGTGCTGGGTGGCAACGGGCGGACCCAGTGAGGGCGCAAGACGGCTGGCTGACTACAGTCACACGTTTGAGCACAGATAAACCAAGCGAAGGAGTGAACAGTGAGACAGACTGCTCAGGCTAGGGCCCCAGTGATGGGAATTAGAGCCTGAAAGCACCAATGGGAAAGACTTTCGGGGTCGAGGTGCTGGGAGAGTTCGTTGGAGAGACCCACAGGGTCCTGGAGGGTATACAAGCCCACATACCCGGGAACCAGCACCTAAAGGGCCCAATTTGCTTGTGGGAAGCAGCAGAGGGGACAGAAATCTGAGAGAGAGGAGAGAAAACGCCATTGCCCCTCTCTGACCCCGCCTGCACATACAGCGTCACACCCCAGCAACTGAGTTGCCCTGCCCTGGTGAACACCTAAGGCTCCGCCCCTCATACATTACAGGTGCGAACAGACCAAAACATTATGGCTCAATAACAGCTCAAAGCCCCAGAACTAATAATTCTAAGCGACCAAGAGACAGCCAAACTTTCAGATGCACAATTCAAAACACTGGTGATGAGGGTGCTCACAGAACTGGTTGATTTTAATCACAAAGTAGAGGAACAAATGAAGGCTAAACTAATTGAAATGAAGGGAAATGCATAGGAAACCAATAGTGATGGAAAGGAAACTGGGACTCAAATCAATGGAGTGGACCAGAAGGAAGAAAAAAATGACCAAACAGAAAAGAATGAAGAAGCAAGAATTCAAAAAAATGAGAGGCTTAGGAACCTCCAGGACATCTTTAAACACTCCAACATCCGAATTATAGGGGTACCAGAAGGGGAAAAGGAACAGCCACAAGTGGAATGAACACTTATTTGAACAAATAATAAAGGAGAACTTCCCCAATCTGGCAAAGGAAATAGACTTCCAGGAAGTCCAGGAAGCTCAGAGAGTTCCAAAGAAGTTGAACCCAAGAAGGAACACACCAAGGCACATCATCATTACATTAGCCAAGATTATAATGAAGGAGAGAATCCTAGAAGCAGCAAGCAATAAGGGGACAGTCACCTACAAAGGAGTTCCCATCAGACTGTCAGCTGATTTTTCAAAAGAGACTTTACCGGCAAAAAGGGGCTGGAAAGAAGTCTTCCAAGTCAAGAAAGGCAAGGACCTACATCCAAGATTGCTCTATCCAGCAAAGCTTTCATTTAGAATGGAAGGGCAGATAAAGTGCTCCTCAGATAAGATCAAATTCAAGGAGTTCATCATCACCAAGCCCTTATTATATGAAATGTTAAAGGGATTTATCTATGAAAAAGAAGATGAGAGAGATGAACAGTGAAAGGACAGCAAACTCACAGTTGTTAACAGCCACACCTAAAACAAAAGCAAACTACCAGGACAGCTAGATCAGGAGCAGAACCATAGAAATGGAGATCACATGAAGGGTTAGCAACAGGGGGGTGGGAGGAGGAGAAGGGGGGAGAAGGTACAGAGAATAAGTAGCATAGACGGTAGGTAGAAAATAGACGGGGGAGGGCAAGAATAGTATGGGAAATGTAGGATCTAAAGAGCTTGTGACACATGGACATAAATGAAAGGGGGGCAACGATGGGGGGGGTGTGTAGGGTGGAGGGGAATGAAGGGGGGGAAGTGGGACAGCTGTAATGGCATAATCAATAAAACATATTAAAAAATTGATTTGAGGGAGAGAGACATTTTGATTTATTGTTGCACTTATTCATACATTTATTGATTAGTTCTTGTATATGCCCTGACTGGAGATTGAACCCTCAACCTTGGCATATTGGGACAATGCTCTAACCAACTGAGCTACTTAGCTAGGGCCTAATAGATGTTTTATAAGTAGCACAGGACACAAGTGATTAACAGAGCTGTAAATGGCCTTTTTGCAGTAAATTGGCAGTTAGAAGAGAGCTGAAAAGCCATTTGTTCCACATTTGTACTGCTTCTCAGATACAAAATTAAGCTGCTTTTTTTCTAAATTACTTTTTTATGAAAGTAATCGATATACAAAATTTAGGGCTTTTAGTGAAAAATAGTTCCATCTGTCTTTTTCCATTTCTGAGTCTTAGTTCCTACAGTCACTTCTAACTCTCCTGGCATTTACCTCCATAGAAGTAAAGTACTTTGTTTATGCAATTATATCTTGAAATTTTTTAAGACATTAGCTATTGACGTTGGAGGATGATTTACCTCATATTCACTCCCTAGAATGCACTCACATTCTTTCTTCAGATTCTCAATAAGTTATATCACAACTTTTGATTAAATCAGTTTAGTGTTTACATTATTATTTTTATTTTTTACTTTATTTTATTGATTATGCTATTACAGTTGTCCTGATTTTGTTCCGCTTTCCTTCTCAACCCAGCACCCTCCACTTCCTCAGACAGTTCCCCCACAGTGTTTGTGTCCATGGGTCATGTGTATAAGTTCTTCGGCTACTGCATTTCCTATACTGTACTTTATACCCCTACAGTTACTCTGTAACTGCCTATTTGTACTTCTTAATCCTCTCACCTCTTCACCCATTCTTCCCCTCCCCACTCCCATCTGGTAACTAACTTCTTTTGCTGCTTTTAAGATTCTCCTTATCTTTAACCTTTGGCCTTTCAATTATGATGTGTCTTGGAGTTGGCATCTTTGCATCCATCATAATTGGGACTCTTCTGTGATTCCTTGATTTGCACGTGTATTTCCTTCACCAAATTAGGGAAGTTTTCTTTCACTCTTTTTTCAGATAGATTTCCAGTTTCTTGCTTTCTCTTCTCCTTCTGGTACCCCTATGATGTGAACGTTGGACCTCTTAAAGTTGTCCTAGAGGATGCTTACACTATTCTAATTTTTTTGGATTCTTTTTTCTTCTTGTTTTTCTGGTTGGTTGTTTTTTGTTGTCCTTATGTTCCAAATGACTGATTTGATTCTTGGCTTCATTTGTTCTCCTGTTGTTTCTCTGTAAGTTGTTCTTTATTTCAATGAGTGTATCCTTCATTTCTGACTGCATCTTTTTTATGCTGCTGAGGTCCTCTCTAAGTTCCTTGAGCATCCTTACAACCAGTGATTTGAACTCTGCATCTGATAGATTGCTTATCTCCATTTCATTTAGCTCTTTTTCTAGAGTGTTGATCTGTTCTTTCATTTGGGCCATGGTTCTTTAAAGATTTTATTTATTTATCTTTTAAAGGGGAAGGGAAGGAGAGAGGGAGAGAAACATCAATGTATGGTTGCTTTTCGAGCGTCCCCTGCTGGGAACTGGCCTGCAGGGAACTGGCCTGCAACCCAGGCATGTGCCCTGACTGGGAGTTGAACCACGATTGTCTGGTTCGCAGGCCCGTGCTCAATCCACTGAGCTACACCAGCCAGGGCTTGGGCCATGGTTCTTTGTCTCTTCATTTTGGCAGCCTCCCTGTGTTTGTTTCTATGTATTAGGTAGAGCTGCTTTGACTCCATGTCTTAGTAGTGTGGCCTAATGTAGCAGGTGTCCTGTAGGGTCCAATGGCACAGCCTCCCCTATTCCCAAGCTGAGTGCTAGAGGTGTGCCCTTTGGGTGGGCTGAGCTCACTCTCCTCTTGTAGTGGAGCCTTGGTTACTGTTGGAAGATCAGTGGGAGGGATTTCCCCAGGCCAGTCAGCAGCAAAGATTGGCTGTGACCACTTAGCATTAACTTCCACCCTCTATGGAGGATCAGCTGTGCAGGGGCAGGATGGTGGTGCTCTCTGAAATGGTCTGTAACTATCCACTGGGTACACTGTCCCTGGGTTTTCCTGGGTGGTGCAGGCCAAGGTCAGCCCCCACCTTTGTTTTTCCTGGGGCACCCTGCCTGAGCTACAAAGCAATCTGTGATGGTTGCTACTTATGCTGGGCTTGGAGATTCCCAGGTGAAGCCAAGCTGTGACTCTAATTTGGCTGCCACTCGGGCTCAGTGAAGCCAGCTCTTGCTTGTTTGATAGGATTTAGGAGCCAAGAGCAGCCAATCTGATGGAAAAGCAGCTTGGGCAGCGAGTAAGTTGAGTGGGGCAGAGCCTGTGTGGATCTCCAAGGTGGGTCAAACAGTGTTAGCCATATTCATGGAGTCTCAGATATGGCACCAGCTTACAAGCTTTGTGTGTGTGTGTGGGGGGGGCAGTTAGAAAAGGGACAGTGGTCTTTGCTCACCTCGATGG